CATGTTGTAACTCTCCTATTTTTCCTTTGCGCGTGTCCCTCTGCAGGCAAGGAACTTCCGCCTCTACACACAGGAGGTGTTGGAAATGGGTCACAATGTGTCCTTTCTTCTCCTGCTCCCTGCCTCAGACGACGTCTGTACAGCCCCAGGACAGAATAATCCTTACACCCCACACTCAGGGTTTCTTAACCTCCCTCTTCAGATGTTTGAACTTGGTATAGTAGCTTGTTTCACCTAGAAATATTAACCCAGCCTCCTTATAATAAAATCACAAAGTTATATCTGTTCCCCCTTGTCCCAGTGGAGGGTCAATAAATCACATGATGGCTTTGGCAACAACCCTTCCTAGAACTGTGTACAAGTCTGAGAGAAAGCAAAGCTCCAAGACCATGTGCCCGAGCAATAATTATTGAAACCCAGCTAAGGCCCAATGGAGAGAAGGGAATTCTAAACAGAAAGTTCAGTTATCGAGCTGCAGTTCTTGCCTTCCTTTTGCTTTCTTAAAACATAAATACAAGAACTGATGATTTCATGAAGAGCACTGCCCCCTCTCTCCCTCTCTCTCTTTCTCTTTCTCCTCCAACTGGGGAAAAAATACTGAAATTAAACCGTAGACTGTGTATCACTTTGGAGGAAAAAAGTCTCTAACTATAAAGAAGTGCTGATTTATTAAATTGACTATACTATTAAATAGACTGAATTTCTAGCCAACTATTTGAGAAATTGACAGGGTCTCCCAGGATGCAATATTGTGATTATAATGTGGGATTCTGAATGGAGGAAGATCTTCTACTGACTTTCAAAAAATGAATAGCCTGGGCCGCAGTTTCTCTCTTTTTGCAGAGACCCCTGCTGCCCACTGAGAATGTGAACAGGGAGGCTTTGTCTCTTCCCATGCTTCATGTTGTAACAGACCAATAAGAGGCAATTAGCAAGAGCTCCATCAGTTCAAATGAACTGTATGATTTCTGGGAGGGTGACTAGTTGGGTAGAATGAAGGCAGACACTCTCTGGATTGCTCCCCAGCCACCAAATTTAGAAGCAGACAAGGCAACTTCTGAGGTCTCATTTTGAGATGCGAGCATCTGAATCTGAATTTATTCTTTGAGGATAAATGAATCAGACCTGTCATTTCTCCTTTGCAAGCAGTTCAGATGCCCAAAAGCTGATGAACACCAATTGTTATTTACCAAAGGAGGGAGAGTTAAGGGAAGCCTGAATTAGCCTTACAAACTGGGACTTGAGAGTCCTAGGGAGATTCCCTATTGTGTGGCACTGGCAGTGACTTAACTTTTCTGCACCTTGTCTGTGTCAAGTGATCAATAACATTGCCATACTATTCCCAAGAGGTGTGGATGTGAATGTGACCATTTAATGAATGCCCTACATGAGGAACATTATTAGTACATGATATAACTGGACTGCTGTTATGAAATACAGTTTGGGTCAAGGTATTTCCACTTAAGCCATTAAGTAAATATTGGGTGCCTACTGTGGAGATTCAAAAATGAGTAAGACTTTTTAAATTATTGAAACCCTGCTAAGGGTGTTTTATGCCAGTTTGGTGTTGTTTAAGTGCCACATAAAAGCCCCTCAAGGGGCTTTCAGTATAGTGGTAACAGTAAAATAGTAATACCAATTATTACTGTAATACCAATTATTACTGAATAAGGTAGAATGTGTCAAAGTTGTAAGTATTAAGTGATATTGAAAAAAGGGGAAAAAACTCATTTTCTCAAAGAACATATCAGAAAGCTGCCTTGGAGAAGAGGATATTTACTTTGGGTGTTAAAGAATGCACAGGATGTTAATAAACATGGATAATAAGAAAAGAATTCTTGTCAAGGAAACAAAATGAGCAAAGACATGAGAATAGAAGAACTCAAAAAGAGTCAGGAAAAGAAGTGGTTCAGTTTGGCTAGATCAGAGAAATGATGTGAGGAAATAGTGAACATAAAGCTGTACAGACAAGCTGTGGCCATACTGGGCAGTATCTTAAGAGTCAGGCTTTGGGATCTAAGATGAATCAAAAGCATAGTTAGGGGGATAGTTCAGAGGTTATTATAATAATCTAGTGTTGGGATAGAAATAAAACCAAAAAAAGGAAAGAAATACAGGTGTAAGAAACACTGGGAGTAAGAGACAAAACTGGGCAACTGTTTGAATGATAAAAGGTGAAGTCTAGAGATTTCTAGAGCACATACCCCCATGGTTTTCAGCCCCAAAGACTGTAAGGATATTGCTGCTACTACGAGAAGAAAGGAAATCAGAGAGGAAAGTGGTTTAGGGAAGAAAGATATTCCAGTCTGAATATCTTGAGTCTGAAGGTGCTAATTCAATATCCAAGTAGAAGTCCATTTGGCAGACATGCAGGAGAGAAAGTTGAGGTCTAAGCACAGGAACTCAGCCAGTGTCTATTGATAACAGCCAAAGCCATGAAACGTGAATGATTTCCCAGGGATAGATAACTGACAGGGAAAAGATCTAAGGAAAGTATTTCATTGGAGAGGTAAGAGGGAATCCATTCTCTGTGAAATGGTCATTATTGCTCCATGATAACAGGCAAAAATACACAAAATTCATGTCCCCATTCATCAGTGGGCTTGGTAGAAATAATTGATGATTTGATATCAATCATAGTTGTATCTGACTCCCAAGATAGTAGAGGATCAATCCCTGCAAGTATCCTCTATATCCTGCTTTCTGGGAGGCTTCCTGTTATTACTTTCCATTCTACCATTTCCTCTCTCCATTCATTCATGCATTGATTCATCAATAAGTATTTACTAAGTAACCTGCTATGTGCCAGGCACTATTCCAGGTACTGAAGAATCAGCAGTGAACACACTCCTCATGGGGCTTACACTTTAGTAGGGGAGGCAAATAATAAACCAGTCAACAATGATATTGTAAATGCAAGACAATAGCGAGGACAAGGAAGAAAAGATCTTTTGCTTCATGTTTCATAAATTCAAAAATTTATCTTTCTATGAAAAAAATAAATCGGGGTAAAGGACTGGAGTGAAGTCACAGGAGCTGTAATTTTGTATAGGATGACCTGGGAAGGTCTGAGGAAGATACATTTGAGCATAGACATGACATTTCCATGCAGTGGGAACAAAAATTACAGAAGTCTTAAAATAAGGTTGCACTTGACTAAGGGATCAGCATAGGTGGTGTGTAGTAAACAAGAGCAACAAAGATAGGAAATGAGATCAGAGAGTCAATAGGGGCCAGGTCATGCAGGGACTCATAGGCCACAGTAAGGACTTTAGAGTTGACTCTAAGTGTGTTTGGAATCCAATGGAGAATTCTGAGCAGTAGAGTAACATATTAAAAGCTCTGCAAAATCTGGTAGTACCCCCAGAAAGGAAAAAATTAAAAGCATAACTTTGTTTAACCCAGCATTTTCCAAGTTCATTTGACAATGACTGGAACCATTTTTGGTACCAATTAATAACCCATAGAAAACATACTTCAGGATATGATGCCCTAGAACACTGCTTCTCAAACTTTAATGTATATAAGAATCACTTGGATAGCTTGTTAATAGATTCTTGGAGCCCCACCCCAGAAATGCTGAATCTGGGAAGGCCACTGGAGAATTTTGCATTTCTAACAAGCTCTTGGCTAATATTAATACTACCAATGCATGAACAATACTTGAAGTAGTACTGCCTAGAACACAGAGAAAAGGACATTTCAGGAATTTACAGAACTAGGGATGTAGTTAGTACAGTAATAGAATCCAGTAATGACTCTCTTTCTGACCTGCCTTACCACTTCTCAATCCCAAAAGAATTATAACATAATCAGATACTATCCTTCATCATCCTGATTTTAAGATGTTTTACCCCTGAGTAAGACATACATACCTTCTTACCATTCTTGTCCTTTTTCATTTCCTTATCATTGGTGATCCTGCTGATTAATGAGAACCACGTTAGTTTCCAGAAAAGACCACTTGGTTGGGCATGGTTCCATTAGAATACACAATTCTATTTGTCTTTTCTAGAGATCAGGAAGAAATATTGCCAGTAGCAGAAAATTAATACACTCCAGTACAATGATTATTGTACTTCAGCACCACCAGCAACAATCCTTAAAATACTGCTGGGCCTTAGAAAGAATTGTGAGAAACTCTGTCTTAGCCCCAAGCAATCAGAGCTTTTCAAGAGGCAGGTTATCATAGCTACTTCCTCCAGTAGATATCAGCCCACTAAGCACTCAATAACACCTTCTATAGGGACTTCTAAGAGCTTGTTCGAGTAGACCCACACCCATCTAAGAAATATGCTAAGCAATTTTTACTTGTTTTATATAAATAGGGACTTCTATCTTCCATAGATAGATCTATATTAAAAGGTCAATAGATACACTAAGCATTTCTGAGGAAGAGAACATTGTTAGAAATTTAGTCAGAACTCAGAAAATTGTAGTAACATAGAAATTTGAAAAAATGCAAATTATATGAATATGTAAATTATAATAAAATAAAGCATTACACTGTACTTTAGTTTGACTTGTATAAGTCATCCCTGTCCTGATGAAAAGAATCTGAGATTTGGCAAACTGACCATGTTCCTGCTAGTGGCCTGAGTGAATCATAAATAACTTGCTAACCAGCTATGGAAAACTGCATCTGTGCCTATTCCAGCATTAAATAGATCTAGCAAGGACAAAATAATAGAGGAGCTTAGCCCTCTGTCTCCTGGATTTAAAACTAGGCTGGGACAAACCCATAGGGTGTCCCTTCACAGGATTAGTTGTTGGGGAAAGACTGTCATGTAGGAGGATGTTGTAAGATCTCTACGAGCAGCGTTGCACTGAGGCAAAATGGTACAATTTCAGACCTCTCCCCACCCCCAGCCTGAAGGCAGACACTCCCTGTCCTTTGGACAGGAGCAAGATAACACTCTTCTGTAGTAATAAAGCACACGTCCAAAGGCTCACAAGGGTCACTGTTTATACTGTTCCCAGAAATAAAAGGAAAAGCAGTGTCATGAGCCTTCAAAACTCTGTCCAGTGATGTGGCCTCTTGAAGATTTGCCTAGCCTCTACTGAGAAGGTCACCCTGCCCTGACCCTGTAGGCAGTCACAATTGACAGCAGGCCTATGTTGAGGAAAGTTGATTTTTATTGATTTCCTTGGCTCTATGATTCATACTGATTGCACTAGCATGATTAAAAAATGGGGGAATTTTTTTAAAACATTTTGAAGCCTGGTATATATTTCATATTTTGGTGCTTGACTGTACCCTTTATTCAACAAACATCTGCTGAGTTTCCACTGTCTGCCAATATGCTGAGACATTAATAAGACAGTCTGCCCACCAGAAGCCTCGAATCCAACAGAAGATACAGACATCTATACCGACAGTTCCAACACAATGAAAGCCCTGCTATAAGGGAGAGGCTACTGAGTTTCAGAGAAAAGACCCCTTCTTAATTATCCTTTCTTAAAAAGTTAATATTTAAGCTAGACCTCAAAGGATAAATAAGCATTCAGAAATGGGAATGAAAGGCAGAGCAGAAAAGGAAAAGTACTTTAAGCATAAGGAACAGCAGGCACAAAGGCTTGGAGACCTGGGAAAATGCAGCTTAATGAAGTACATTCTTAGTCAGCTCACTGTGACAGATGGTTAAGGCATCTGAGGAAGAGTGACAGAAGATGAAAATAAAAATTTAAAAAGTAAAAATCACAAATGGCTACTTATGTCATCCTAAAGAGGTTAGACTTTATCCTATAGGCAATGAGGAGTCATTAAAAGATTTTTTTAAAGGAGTAATATGGTCTTGGTTTTCAGCAGCTCTGTAGAGGTTGGACTGCAGGACAGCCAAAAAAAAAAGAAAGAAAAGTAAAAAGGCCTGAGACCAGAGGCAATGAGAGCAGGTGGGTGATGATAAGAACCTGAATCAAGGCTGCTGCAGTAGGGGTGTAGAAGAGAAAGCAAAGGCAGGAGGAATTTAGGAGTTAAAATCAATAGTGCTTGGTGATTAATTTAATGTGGTTGGAGAGCAAGATGGAGGAGCCAGAGAGTCTGAATAGGGTGCTGAGATGGATAATGTTGCCATCTACCAAAATAGGAAATACGAGGAGAGGAACAGGTTTGGGGGAGGGGAGAGATGATGAGTTCAGCTTGACAAATGATGAGTTTTGAGGTGCCTGTGGGATATCCAGGCATTGAGCCTAATGGAATCCAGGCCACAAGTTTACAAGAAATGGCACAGTCTCAACCCTCATTCCTAAGGCCAATTTTTCATGATTTAGGATACCATTCCTAAATTCCAACTGTCAATTCATTCACTACCAAGAATCTTTAGAGGGGCATCTTGTGCCCAAGTTTCTTTCTGACACCTTGGCAAAAAATCATGGGACTAAACTGAAGAAGGTAATCTTGTTGATTCCTTAGCTTCCAAACCAGGTTACATGACCTAGACTGATAGGACTTCACTGAGCTAGAGAATTTTAGGAAGACTATTCCAATGTCAATCTTGTTTTAATATTCAAACTACTAAATGCCTCATTTTTCCTGGGGGATGGGGTAAGGTATAAACAAAAATTTATTTTATATATGATAAATGCCACATACTTTATACATATGTTATCTTATTTAATCCTAGATAGGCAGTATTACCCCTGTCTTAAGATGTAAAAAACTGAGGCTCCTAGAGGTTACATGCCCACTATTACACATGTAATGAATGGGAAAACTATGACTCAAACCCAGTTCTGTGCCCAAGGACTTTACATTCTACTATACTTTTAATCTGACTTTTTTTCCCTTCTTCTGACCTCTAGTGTTAGTGCCGACTACATTTTAATCTGTTACTATCTTATATAGAAAAAGGAAAGAAAACACCACAGAAAATGTGTCTTAGTTTGTAAATTACTAACAAATCATATGGTCTAGAAATGCATTATTGTACCCTTATACCATTTTGTCTGAAACGCATGTGATTTACATTAGAAAAAAATTAGAAGCTTCCAGTCTATCCTCCCCTCCTCAGTGATGGCTACCAAATGTATCATTGCTAAACCACAAAAGACTATGTTAAAGTAACATTTGTTAAAGTAACATTTAAGGGTCTGGATAAAAACCACTAAAGTAGGAAAGTGAAGCACTGTAGTTGAAAGGTCCTCATAGCTCAGTGTGGTGAATGGCACGGGTGGTGTGGGTGCTGTGAGACCACCCACTGATCCAAGGCTCCTACCACAAGGAGACACAAGGAACAGTTGTGGACACCCTGGCACTTTAGAATTTGGATGGGACTGATAGTGTTCCTTTTAAAGACATTCTTTAGTGCCTCTTCCTACGTCCCTATCTTTTCCCTATCGTCATATTTTAGAAAGAAGGAGAAAAGCTAATTTTTTTTTTTTACAACTTGGTTTGGAAAGGCAGGCTGTGAGACACTTCCCTCTCTTCATTCTCCGGCCAAGAGAGGACATCTGTCAAGTGCTAACAGGACATAATCCCTCCTTGAAAGGCATAAAGGCACATTCAGGGAGCCGTAAGAGTCAAGAGTAAGCTATAAAGTAATGGTGACTCTCTCCTGTAGAGCTGCCAGTAAATATCACAGACCTGAAATACACCTTTCAAAACACGAAACCCAAGAGCAGTGAGAAAAGAAAGAATGGAAGGAAAGAGGAGACTTTGGAGGAAGGGTCTGCCATTTCAGAAGGGTCTGTGCATTTTTTTGTTCATTCAGTCAATAAACATTAATTGAGAAGCTATAATGTTCCAGGTTTTGAAGAAATAAAAATTAATAGGAGACATGCTTCTTGCCCTCAGAGAAATCAGTTTAGTACCCAGACAGTCAAATAAACACATAATTACAACAAAGCAGGACAACTGTCCTGATATATTTAAACCTAAGTGTTCTAGGAGCACAAAGGAGAGAAAGTGTTGGTGCCCACTTCCCATACCTTACCAGGACTTGGTAAACCTTAAAAGAGAATACTGTCTGACTAAAACCAGTCCCATGATTTTTTGCCATGATTCTGCTTGGAGGAAAAGAGGTATCATTGAAGATTTCACTAAGGAGAAGACATTTAAGCAGAATCTTCAAGTATCAGAAGAAGCTGAGCTGAAGGTATTGGTGGAGAAGTTGCACTAAAGGACAAAAAAAAAGGCATGTTTAAAAGATTGGAAGTACAAAAGGATTTGTAATAAATTTAGCTGACCAAAGCTTAGGGTAAATGTAAACAGAGGGTGGAGGGTGGGTGCATGATGGAAGATAGGACTGAAAATATATTCAAATCCTAGATTGCAAGGAGCTTTCCTTATAATGATAAAATGTTGGATTTTATCCTGAAGTCAAGAGTGAGCTCTACAGAGATCTTTAAGCAGGGAAATAGCATGAAAGGTAGAGCATTTGTTTTGCTCTCAAGTTTGTCACTACCTGAGAGGCTATATGAAACCAGTTCTTCTGTGTGTCGGGTAAGGAAGTACTAGAGTAGAGGAAGTGGGAAGGAAGAATCTGACACCAGAGAGTAAAATCAACCCCATAACTGAGATTACACAAATTGAGAAACACCTTGAAATCATGCACGACTGCACGGCCCACTGAAAGGAGACACGATGTGAAACAGTTGTGGACACCTTGGCATTTTAGAATTCAGATGGGACTGACAGTGTTCCTCTTCCATTTCCATATGAGGAACTGCAAAAAGTAGGTTACCCTTACACTCACCTGAGAATCATCCTAGCAAGAAATCAAGCAAGGAAGTAGGGGGTGGTAAGATGGGAAGTGTAGGGTACACAGAAACATCTCAATATACAGAGAACTAGAGCTTCCTCAATGAGGTGTAGAGATAACCAGATGCCCCATTTTGAGGTAGTATGGTTTTAGCTTCCCTAAATGGCCAGGTCTGGGTCTCAGGAATCAACAGCAAAGAGGCCCAAGGATAGTAATTATATGTTCTTCCTAGAAATTCTCCCCAAAGAAGCCAGAAAAAAAATGTTTCCATAGATTCGTTGAGTTACAACACCCCTATTTTCAAGGCATGGAACACACTGGGACAGGACAGAGTACACAGATTAAATAAGGTTTCTGAAGGGTGAGTCTCCAAATTCAAGAATGGCCAGGAAGAGACTGGTACTACACTGGTCTGAATCAAGATGCTTTCCTCATCCCATTGGAATCGGAAGTTATGGTATGTGATCAGATCCAGTCAGAGAAGTATGGAACATCTGACCACCTCAGGCTGCCTGCACCAGGCTGAGACCTATACTCCTCTCTCCCTCTTCCATGAAGAAGATAAAGATTTGACTATTTCCTTTGGCCTCTGGCCCATTATCTTTTGAGAGAGGGAAGCTAAGTCGACTGAATACAAAAATGGTCTGTCCAGGCATCAGCTCCATCATCTTCCCAGAGAGGCTGAGGAGTGGAGAGGCAGGAGAAAGATCAAAATCCATCTTACTAGTAGTCCTTAGGAAAGTTTTCCAGCCAAACAAAAGGCACCCTGAGAAAAGAATGTCTTGTGACTTCTGGCCTTGGAAAGGAGAGTGCAAGAGACAGTGGAAATCAGACATGGAAATCAAAACAAGGTTTCAATCTGCTATTTGGCTTTTTTTCTTAAAAGTGATAAGCAAACTTATTTTCCCAATGTATATAAACATATATATTCAACCCACTGAACATTAACTGCAGCTTGAGCCAACCCCACTTCCCATACCTTACCAGGACTTGGTAAACCTTAAAAGGGAATACTGTCTGACTAAAACCAGACAACTGGCCCCTTAAGAGCACACTTATAATTTATTTATGGCTTAATATTTTCCACTGATAGGATTAATACATCATGTTTTCATTCAGCTTGTTTTCTCTGAGGTATGAATTTCTCTATTTTGATACCAGATCTTAACATGTTTTATTTTGTTTGTCTACTTTCCAGTTCATTTTTGCAGCTACAGGGAGAAATTTATTAGTCTGTATTGCCGCCTCTCTGCTGTTGTGGAGCTGGATTCTCTGAATACCCAACAATCCCTGAGGGAAGCAATCTCAGACAGCGAGGTTGCAGCAGCCAAACAAAGACACCAGCAAGTTTTAGATTTCATTCAGGTAATAGTTTGCTTCTTCCGAGGTAAAAGGAAGCAAGAGGGGCAGAAAGGAGATGATGATAACCAAGTGTAAGAAAGAACAGTAATCTGGGCCAATTTAAAGACCACAGTGTTGAAGCAGCCTGTTGATTTGACTAAAATGTAGAGCTCAGTGAGATATGAATTTTTAAACAAACGCTTAAGAAAAAGCTTTTCTTAAGAAAAACACCACTGTGTTACTTAGAGCTGCATCAGCCACTGCGGTGGGTAGCAATGGCTTCCCATATTGGAGAAAAAAATCACTGCCAGAAGAAGTAGCTATCCAAGTATTATTCATACCTGGTAGCCCATTGATAATTCCAATAAAGAGAAAAATTGTATTAATTAGCTCAAAATCCTAGGGAACAGAGAGGAAAATGATTCATCAGTTTATGTTAACCCAAATCCAGTAGGATTTATCATTCTTGCTTTGGACTTCTTTCTGGCAGAGTTGACACTTTAATGTGTGGCTATAGAAGTTAGAAAATGTGTTCCTTGTCCATGGTCTTGTTAGAAATTCCTCATGGTGACAACTCAGGGTCTTGTGACAGGGGTACTGAGTAGTCATCAATAGAATTTGAATCTGGTCTGAAACCGCCTCAAATTCCTTGGACAAATCTTACAATCTTTCTGCCTATAGTCACCCAATTCACAAAATGAGTATAAGAGCAATAGCCCCATGGTAAGTTTCACTATGGCAGATATTTAGTTTGATAAATATTTGTTGGATACCCACCCAGGTGTCAGGTACTCTAAGGAAGGTACAAAGTTTAATTAGACATGATTGTAACCTTATAGAGTTTTGAACCCATTAAGGCAGACAAGAAATGTATATAAATCCTATTTGTAAAATGAGTTAGGTGCCAGAGGTAAAAAAAAGTTCAGTGTCAGCCAAAGAAATAAAAATTTACTTATATTTGTGGATATCAGAGAAGTTGTCATAAAGGTGTAACTGATATCTGAGCTAGACCTAGAGAGAGATAGGTTAGACTATAGTGAGGAGAAAATAGACTAGGGGGAGTTCAAAGCAAAAGCATAAACAGATAAGGCAGGAGAGAGGACAAAAATAGTATCTAGGGAATGATGAGTAGCCAATATTGGTTGGGACATATATTGAGTGAAGGACAGCAGTGAGAAATGAGGCAAGAATGATAGCCATGTGATCAGATTATAAGGGCTTTATTAAAGGTCATGGTAAGAAATGTGCACTTTATTCTGTAGTCAGTAGGGACCTGACCAAAGTTTTGGAGAAAGTAAGTTATAGGCCCTCAGAGCTATTTAGGACAGATTCAAGCAGGGAGCTGTGTCTCCCATGTCCATTAGTATGGCCATACTGGTTGCTGATAGTAAGCCCTCATTCTCATTGGCCATGCTCACTAATTAACTTGCATGTCATTCCTGGATTTAAGAAGAAGACAAGGAAACCAAATACAAAGCTATTACAACCATCCACATAAGAAGTAATGAGGACCAAAGATGGAGAAATGCTGTGAAGTTTAAGCAAATATATTTCTCTAAATCCTAATCTCCTCATCTTTAAAATAATACTACTACTAGCTCACAATATTACTATAAGACTTCAATAAGACAATACATGTAAAACACTCGGCAAAGTGCCTGTACATAATAAGTATGTGAGAAAATTACATATTGATTTACTCATGCATTCTTTCATTAGTAACAAGGAAAAATGCTTTGAAACATGAATATGCAAGGTTGGAGGATTATTAAGTACTCCAGAAGATACTGCAATATACTTGCAAGGTAGTGAGCAGATAAACCCTATCCTACTTCTCTCATCCTGTAAATGAGATATCTTAGTGACATCTCAAACTAAAAAAATAAACCTATCAAGAAGTTACTTGCTCTCTTGACCTGAAAATGCAGTATTTAAAAATTCAAAATATTTATATCATTTATTTTATTTCCAGTAAAAGTGGAACATCAATAGGAAGAATAAAGCAGGAAGAGACTATGAAATACTGTCTTATCTTTTGAACCCAATATAAGGGACAGTGGCGCACAGTAAGAATAATAATGACCAGAAGTCGATTAGCACACATTTTTTTAGTCCTCTGTTTTCTAGTGATAAGTCTTGAAGTGTTGGACAATTAATTTAATCTCCAGGGATCTCAATTTCTGCATACATAAAATGAAAGGATTGGACTGGATGACTTCTAAGGGCCTGGTTGTCTCTAATATTTCATACTTCTTCTACAACCATAAATATTTTTAAAGAAGCACTTCTCTAACCATGTCTTAGGTTCTGTTTCTGCTTATTGCACTGAAGCCTCCCTGAATCCAGTATGTTCATCCAATGAGAAGGCTGACCTTCAGTTTGTCAGTCTCAAAATCCTGGCTGCATTCTTACTCTGTGATGACTACCCTTTCTCCTTTCTTTTTCACCTAGCCTACAGCTCCACTGCCTTCTTCTCTTTCCCTTTCACCACACTGTTAAATGGGATGAATAAAGGCAGGCCAGGAATTCTTCAAAGTTCTAGCCTACTCTGGTCTCCCAAAGCAGGTAACTTGAGAGCCCTCTTTATATACTCTCCTTCCAGCCAGCAGGTACATGTAGACTTGGATAAAAGCCAATTCCCAAAGGGTTAAAAAAAATCACTTATTGGCCAGGATAAAACCAGACCATCCCCCTGCACCCAGAGCCTTCACGGGAATGCCCTGCTCCATCCAACATGGATAACCTCACTGACTGGAGATAATGTGATATCATCTCTCCCTTTATCTATAATGGGCTTCTCAATCTCTCAAATGAAAACCAGCTGCAGCCATCGCCCACTGGCATTCACAGTTCAGCCCACCACACACCATAACCTGCAGAGGCAACCGCCAGCCACGGGAATGTATGTATGATTCCAGATCTAAGACAGTGTTGAAGTCACTACACAAACCAAACATTGTAAAGAGCAAGGGAGTCTATGTAAATTACAGTGGAGAAAAGAAGCCAAGGAGTGCAGCCAGAAAGGGGGAGGGCTGGACTAGGTAGGAGAGGTGCAGAAAATCACAGATAAGGTATACAGGCTTTATAGACAGCATATGCAGCAGAAATGTCAAAGTGCAGAGCCCTGGAGCTTGGCATATTTTAAGCTGCTAAGGCCTAAAGGGCAATTAGGCTATAATTTATATACTGCAATGCTTCAAATGCTCCTAAGCTGTAATAGAAACACAGCTCATTAAATATAACCAATCTATCATCCCCTCAAACACCTTGTAACTGTGCTGTGAGAAAACCAATCACCTTTACATTTTAATAAAAATATTATCTTGCCTGAGTACAGAGAAAGGGGTGTAATTTATGGGATGAAAACTGAAATTTTTAAAGGGCAGGGTGAGAAATGGATACAGAACTTTTAACCAACAGACCTAGGGAGTTCATGGTCTTTCTTTTTAAAAACATGTCAGCAAGTCTTTAGAAGCTGAATTTGGACCTTAAAGTCAGAGGGATTATGCTGTCAGTTATTTTTAGATCAACAGTATAAAGTATAATGGGTGAAAATTATACTTCTTTTAGAGCTACTTAGCTAAGTCCGTTAAACTCGGTCCACAAGACTCCCTGTACCTATGTTTTTATTTTTAGTTCAGTTAATACCTCTTAACTTCATCACTGAGAAAAATTTAGAATTAAACATTATTTCTACTCCAAATTTTTTAAATTTCTACACTAAATCTCACTATCCATCCTCAGCAATAAGGCTGAAACAATCTTATCCCAGGAGAACAAGTAGAATATTTTAATAATTATATTTGTTTCTTAGGGCTGCTGTAACAAATTATCACAAACTAAATGGTTTAAAACAATAGAAATGTATTCTCTCTCAGTTCTTTAGGCCAGAAATCTGAAATCAAGGTTTTGGCAGGGCCACACTCCCCCTGGAGGCTCTAGGAGATAGTCCGTTCTCTGCTTCTCCCAGCTCTGGTGCTATTGGCATTCCTTGATCTGTGGCCACATTGCCTCAACCTCTGTTTCTGTGGCCAACTGCCTCCTTCACTTCTGTCTTGCAAATCTCCCTCTGCCTCACTCTTAGAGAACATGTTTAGGAGGACGTTTGTTACTGGAGTAAGGGTCCACCCAGATAATCCAAGATAAACTCCTCCTCTCAAAATCCTTAATTTATTCACATCTTTAATCATACAAGTTAACAATTACTCTTTTATAATATAAACTAATATTCACAAGTTCTGGTTTAGAACATGGACTTATCTTTTGAGAGGCCACATTCAGCCCACAACAATCATGACTGTCATTTTAACAACTGAAAACTTTATAATAAAGTGCACTCTATAAAATGCACTAATTTATATTATCTTACTTAATACTTATAATAGTCTCTTGAACAATAGAAAGCTAAAGAATTAGGTACCATCATTCATTCACTGAGTAATCACTTATTGAGTACCTACTCTTTGCCTAGCCAATAGTAAAAGATACAAAAACACAGTCCCTGTCCTCGGCAGGCACTCTAAAAGCTGTCTAAAAGTCATGCAGTACCTTTAAAATAACGTTAAGATGAGAGTATGCTGCATGAGGTAGGACCAATAAAAGCCAGCTGACAGAGTAAGAATCCCGTCAAGAAAATTTGTCCAAGTCTCACCTGGAATTTCCACTTTGGCTTTACCCCTGAACTTCAGATTTCTCCTCTTCACGGGCCTGCCCACTGCTGAACCTCCTGCCCAACTCAATGCCTAACAAAGCCTGAAGTCCAGTCTCAGGTTTTCATTACCAGCCCTGAATATTCTGTCAGGTCCGGTCACTCCAGGAAAGAAGAGAACTAGAAAGCCAGGGAAACTGGCTATCGACCAGCAGTGCCTTTGGCTAGCTGACTTTAGCTTGCCTGTCACTCTGAACATGGCAGACTGCCACAGTTTCAGGCTCTGCTCTGTTTGTTGGGAGCACCGGGTTTGTGCATACTCTTAAAGGAATATTCTGTAAGCACAGATTAGGGCCATAAGAAGGAATTTTGAAAATAAAATAGGACACTGGGTAGTCCTTTATCTTTAAAACCTTACAATCAGAGAGACCTTAACTTTACAGTATTCATACAATGAACACTTTCTGTCTGGAAGTTGAGTGACACCAACATTTCAAATATTCTTCAAAAATTAATCATGAAGTGTCAGATCTGGAAGGGACCTTACACATCATTTAGTCCGACCTCCTCTTTAGTTACGTTGAGTGAATGGCTCCCAAGAAGTTAATGGTTGCCCAAAGCACCCATGCAAAAGCCTATTACAAGCTTCAGGGTCCCATGAAAAAAAATGTGTGACCAGCAGCCTCTCTTCAGAGAGTCAGAATAACCAGGTTTGTGGCCAGTGTCTATTAAGATCTGGGAGAATATCTATCATCTACAGAGGTAAACACAAAAATATGAGTGACTTTTATACTAATAGTCTTTAGAGAAAAAACTATTGTACTTTATAATGGAAATGTTGTTAAAACCATTTTGGTGAACCAAAATGGTAACAATTTAAAATGAGTTGCCCTAAAAATGTAAGGATGTTTAAATTACTTAGGAATAAGCTATTTAAGCTGTTTTATATGTTAATGCTTAATTTGTGTGTAGCAAGTTCAACATATAACATATTCCTTTTCTATTAAAATGGGTCCATGAAACTCTGCTTAGCAAAATAATTCCAGTGGTGTCATTTTTCTAGTTCATATAGAAGAACTAGAACTACATTTTTTATTCAAGTATTCTGATATTCAGACTTTATCATATGCCTTCCCCACAATATCCTAATGAAGAATATTTCATTATATGCAAAGAATTAATAATGCTTCATATGTGTGAGAAATGTACTGTGCAGTTTTCCAAAGTACTTTCAGATTCATCATTTCACCCATTCGTAGCAGTCTTACAAGGCATCAAAGGGGACAGGTGTTATCCCCATTTTACAAATAGAGCAACAAAGGCTCAAAGAGGTCAAGCAGCCTTGCCAAAAGTTACCACAGAGCTAGTAAGTAGTGGATCCCAATTGGAATCCAAGTCTTCCACTCTTTGCACTAAATGACATAGCCTCTCAGGTAATAGTATGCAAGACACAAGAAATTATAAAGAAAAGGTATTTTCTGGCTTAGCAAACCTATGTTGAATATAAATTTTACTCTTGCTTAAAACCAGTACTGTGGAAATAAATGTATCATCTTGGATACTCAAGAAAACGTATTCCTTTTTAATACCTGTTTGATAACTCAGTGTCTTTTACCATTTTATTCCAAAGCAAATAGATGAAGTTTGGCGTGAAATGAGATGGATCATGGATGCTCTACAGTATGCAAGATACAAACAACCAGTTTCTGGCTTACCCATCATTAAGCTGACAGACCCCTCAGATGAGCAGAACCTAAAGAAAATCAACTCCACATCCTCACATATAGACTGCCTTCCATCACCATCACCATCCCCAGAGATGCACAGAAGAAAGGCAGTGAGTGGTAAGCAATATGATCAAAAGTTCTATATTTCAGTCACCAGATTCTTGGTCCTGTCTCCACTGGTGAGGTTCTTTTGTGCTGAGGCACTGGTCCCAGCAATCAGTAGGAAGCACTGCTCAGTGGTAACAGTCTAAAAGCATAGAGGGAACAAAATCAAAATAGGGTAGGAAACTAGAGGAGTAACCTGAATCAACTCTACTAAGGGCTGGAGAAGATTCAGTCCCGTTCTAGCCCAAGCTTCCATGATACAAAAAGAGACAGAGCAGGGATGAGCAAGGCTAAAGAAATGCTGAATGGAGACTGCTGCATTGCCAGGTGAGGGCCAAGTCAGCCAAGGGAATCTAAACAAAACTATCTAAGGAAAGAGAACAGGCCCAGCTTCTATTAAACAGGAACTGACAGGAATGAGGTGGGAAGTAGGTCCCAACCTGGGTAAGAGTTCAGGGCGAATTTCCTACCCACATGGCATCAATGTCCCAGAGTGCGAGGTGGGAAAAAGCAAACCTGGATAAACTATAATCCTTAGGCTGAAGCCAAATAAGTAGGTTGGTCTGATCATGGATACAACAAGCAGGAGACAATTTACAGACAAGCTGGAGGAAATGCCTAGCAAGTCACCTCTACTCCTGGGAATTACAGGGCAAATTCTAGCCACAAAAATACAGCTAGTTAACAAAAATTTTTACATCTTTATGTTTATAAACAGAGAGTAAGCATACTAGTCAAAGTCAATAGAAGGTTTTTGCCAAGGACATATTGAGACTAATGCCATTCTTCTAGTCAACTAAAAAATTCCATTCAAAGCAACTTTCTGGATTCTATAGCTTATAAGAGCTCCAATTTTGTAAGCTTTACAATAATTATAATTGATATTTTCAATAAATAGTTCTGAAATGTGGGCTTGTCCCATAGGGGGCAGCATCCTGTAACAGAAAGAGCTTGGATTTAGAAATCACAGACCTGTATTCAAATCCCAGATTTGTTTTACTAGCTCTGTGAGCTCAAACATAAAGTGAGAATAATATCTATACCTTGAAAAGTTACTTGTAAATAAGACTATGCCAGAGATGCATGGCATATAATATACAATTAATTATAAGTATCAAATGTAATGTTATTCTTATTATAGAAAACTTTAGTGGGATATGAGACTTTTCTACAGGTACGTTTGTGTATGCTCCTATGTTTTAAAAATCTCAATGTCTGAAAATCAAGTGGAAGAACTTGAGAGACAGCTAATTTATATTACCAAAGGATTCTATGTTTTCCAAATAAATCAACAAAATAATTCTTTAAGTAAAGTTTCTCACATGTATTTTTATAGATTCTCACTGGGCTATGGATACAAATAAAATACGACCCCTGTCAAAAGCTAGTCCAATGGGGGAAACAAATACATTAACAAAAATTTAATGGTAATTGCATATGTGCAATGATGAGACTATGTGTAGGGTGTTATGGAGTCTATTAGAGGTGTTAACTGTAAATTCATAAGATAAGAGAGTGCTTCCCGGAGAGGGTGGCAAAGTCAAGTACTGAAGGATAAGCAAGAGTTTGAGTCAAAAAAGAGGAAAGAGCAGAGCATTACAGGCAGAGTAAGCAGAATGTGCAACTGTGTATTAGTTCAGGAAACTACAAGCAGGCTGACTGAACTCAGGATCTGAGGATTCTTTTTTTTTTTAATTAAAATATATATACGGGTTACCCACTATATTCTAGGTCCTTTGAGGACAGGGATATAGTGATAAACAAAGCAAAGTCTCCACTCCCATAGAGCTTACAGTCTAAAGAGTGACAATGAAAACATAAGATAATTCCAGATAGTGAAAATTCCAACATATAACACAGAACACAATCAGGGTGGGCAAGGATTGTTGAATTCACTAAGACAATGAGCAAAGACCTTTCTGTGATGGTTACATTTGAACCAACCATAATAAAAGGAGCCAGTAAAGCAAAGATCTGGAATATTCCAGAAAACAAAACAACTGAAGTTCCTGAGGTGGGTGAGGGATGGACAGAAGACCACAGTCACTGGAGCAGAGTGAATAAAGGGGCTAGCTCTGAGAGAGGGTAGAGAGAAAGGGAGGGGCTGGATCAGGTAGAAACATGGTAAGATTTCATTCTGCTTGTGACAGAAAGCCATTGGAAACTTTTACGCAAGAATTGATATGATCTGAATTAGTCAATCAAATCTGGCTGTTGAATGAAGAGACCATAGGGGGACAATGCTGGAAGTATCAAATGTAATGTTATTCTTATTATAGAAAACTTTAGTGGGATATGAGACTTTTCTACAGGTACGTTTGTGTATGCTCCTATGTTTTAAAAATCTCAATGTCTGAAAATCAAGTGGAAGAACTTGAGAGACAGCTAATTTATATTACCAAAGGATTCTATGTTTTCCAAATAAATCAACAAAATAATTCTTTAAGTAAAGTTTCTCACATGTATTTTTATAGATTCTCACTGGGCTATGGATACAAATAAAATACGACCCCTGTCAAAAGCTAGTCCAATGGGGGAAACAAATACATTAACAAAAATTTAATGGTAATTGCATATGTGCAATGATGAGACTATGTGTAGGGTGTTATGGAGTCTATTAGAGGTGTTAACTGTAAATTCATAAGATAAGAGAGTGCTTCCCGGAGAGGGTGGCAAAGTCAAGTACTGAAGGATAAGCAAGAGTTTGAGTCAAAAAAGAGGAAAGAGCAGAGCATTACAGGCAGAGTAAGCAGAATGTGCAACTGTGTATTAGTTCAGGAAACTACAAGCAGGCTGACTGAACTCAGGATCTGAGGATTCTTTTTTTTTTTAATTAAAATATATATACGGGTTACCCACTATATTCTAGGTCCTTTGAGGACAGGGATATAGTGATAAACAAAGCAAAGTCTCCACTCCCATAGAGCTTACAGTCTAAAGAGTGACAATGAAAACATAAGATAATTCCAGATAGTGAAAATTCCAACATATAACACAGAACACAATCAGGGTGGGCAAGGATTGTTGAATTCACTAAGACAATGAGCAAAGACCTTTCTGTGATGGTTACATTTGAACCAACCATAATAAAAGGAGCCAGTAAAGCAAAGATCTGGAATATTCCAGAAAACAAAACAACTGAAGTTCCTGAGGTGGGTGAGGGATGGACAGAAGACCACAGTCACTGGAGCAGAGTGAATAAAGGGGCTAGCTCTGAGAGAGGGTAGAGAGAAAGGGAGGGGCTGGATCAGGTAGAAACATGGTAAGATTTCATTCTGCTTGTGACAGAAAGCCATTGGAAACTTTTACGCAAGAATTGATATGATCTGAATTAGTCAATCAAATCTGGCTGTTGAATGAAGAGACCATAGGGGGACAATGCTGGAAACAGGGAGGTCAATTAGGAAATATTAACAGAGGAGAAACAAGTTTTGCTTGAGTGTCTCAGAATATCATGATGCTGTTTACCAAAAAAAAAGGATAGACAGGAGTAAAAATAACCTTGGGTGGTTGGGCATGTTGAATTTGAGTTAGCTTTGGGACATTCCACACAAAAAGAAACATTCAGGAGAAAATAGGATGTATGGGGTCTGAAACTCAGAAAAGAGAACTAGACCAATAGTACATATTTAAGAACTGTTGACATGTGAATGACACAGCTATGAAAATGCTCAGGATTTCCTAGAGAGAGTATGTAGAGTAAGTAGAGGAGACTATGGTAGGATCCCTGTGGAATGAAACAGCAAGACTTCTTAGACTAAGAAGAAACAACCTGAAGAAGAAGATAAAAACCAAGGAATAGAGTCGCAGAAGTTAAAATGTGTCAAATGATGGAGAGAGATTAAATAAAACAGAAAAGCTGCTATTGTTTTGCTTTGTATTCAACAAGGAAGTGAATAGTAATCTGATGGGAAGGAAAGGAGATAGAAACTGGAAGGAAGTAGATTAAAGAGTAAATGGGGGGGGTGTGGTAAAAAAAAAATGTGGGGCCAGTAAAGATACACTCTTTTTAAAATCTTGGTTGTGAAAGAAAAGCGGGAAGGAGAGCAGTAGCTAGAGAAGTATACGGATAAAAAAGCATTTTTTAAAGGCAGGATAGATATGTCCTCTCTTCTTCTATAATTCATATAATTTTACAAATTACTCTTCAGTTCTACTTCCACTTTCATAGCCCTTGCCTGCCCTCTGTGCTCAGAGAACCCTCCCAGTGTTCAATCTTCTCTTGGCCACAGGGTCTTAAGGAGGTCCAGTATCAGGGTGGCCTCTCCTGTGACACAGAAGTGCCAGAATCTCACATTGGCCAGATGACAGGTTCATATACTCCCTGCTGGGAGGATCTGGCCAATTACAATCGGATTTTATTATTAACTTGAAATATGAGTGATCATCACTCTGTTTCTTAAAATACAACGCTCTCTTGGGTCCATTTATTTCTCTGAAGCCAAGATTCCATGACTGTGAAACACAGACGTGGAAGGCAGCAAATGAAAAATGGAACCCAGTGATACAGAAACTGCTGAGAGTTGGGAGAAACATTTAGTATCCTACCTCCTCAGAAAAGCAAAAGCACTTCAGAGAAATGAAATCTGCTCCTGTATACTCTGTCCACTCCACTAGTGTGACTACTTTTAATTACTTGGAAATAATTTATGTAGAGGAAAAAGGACAACTTAGAGGAATATCCCCACTGGCTTGCTCACAGGGCAAAGTTTGCAACACAATTCCATTCTGTGTGGGTAGAGTTCACTGAACTTCTGGAGCATGCTGGGAATACAGAGTCTATCATAAACCTAACCTCTGGTGCCAGCCCAACATTCTGTTTTTAAGGCTGTTGAGTACCTTGGATTTGTTTGTGTATATCTGTGTGTGTGTGTATGTGTGTGTGTGTGTGTGTGTGTGTGTGTGTGCTGGGGGCAGTGAGAGGCGGGAGGAGTGGAGTGTAACTCTAACTTAATTCCCATTTCTGTGATTTTCAAATAAAAAGTAGAACTCCTCTGAGTCAATTAAAATTA